TACAGGGCAGCAGGCCAACCTCAACACCACAATCGCCAGGCCCCCGAGCACAGTACAGGGCAGCAGGCCAACCTCAACACCACAATCTCCAGGCCCCACCAAAGGGCAGAAAGACCCCCTTGCGTGTGCTGGACTCCCTCGCCACGGACAGGCTGGCGATTTCAGCTCAAGAGGCGCAGATCAAACTGAGCTTCGCCTTCCGCTGTTTGCTCATCACTACAAGAACCCAACCGCATAAGATACTGCAAAACTGAGCCCCCCCAGAAAGAGAAGCAGCCTGGTTTCTGATGCGTTTTCCCTGGACAGCAGGCTGATGCACCAGCTCTTCACCACAAGCACCCCCAGCGAGTACAGCAGGGGCTTCAGGACTCCATTAAACCTGCTCCTGGACAACCAGCCCTTCCCCTCTCTCTCTCTCTCTCCTGCGGAGCAGCAGGCCAGAGCCGGGGAGTCGGGTTACAGGGCAGAACAGTCCGACCGGTTCAGGGACAGAGAGAACGAGAGGCACACAGCGTCCAGGACACGTTGCAATGGCCAGCGCGGCCCTCCTAGGACAGCGGCGGTGTTCCCAGAAATCCGGGAAGGGCCCAGTCTGGCACCTTCGCACCAGCCCCCTCCCCGGGTGAGCAGTGCGGTTCGAAAAGGTGCCAGGACCACCGGCGGGCACACAGTGTGTGTGATACCAGGGCACAAGGCTCACCTGTCTGGGACACCAGCTCGCCAGGGTACGAGTGGGCACAAGGCTCACCTGCCTGTGCGATACCAGCTCGCCAGGGTACGAGTGGGCACAAGGCTCACCTGTCTGGGATACCAGCTCGCCGGGGTACGAGTGGACACAAGGCTCACCTGTCTGCACGATACCAGCTCGCCAGGGTACTAGTGGGCACGAGGCTCACCTGTCTGGGATACCAGCCCGCCAGGGTACGAGTGGGCACAAGGCTCACCAGCCTGTGCGATACCAGCTCGCCAGGGTACGAGTGGGCACAAGGCTCACCTGTCTGGGATACCAGCTCGCCAGGGTATGAGTGGGCACAAGGCTCACCTGCCTGTGTGATACCAGCTCGCCAGGGTACGAGTGGGCACGAGGCTCACCTGCCGGTGCGATACCAGCCCGCCAGGGTGCCAGTCACAGGGCCCAGTGCCCAGAGAGAGTGGGCCGCGTGAGAGTGAAGACGAGACCGGTTCTCCCGGCTGCACAACTGTGCCGCGTCTCCTGGGGGCCCCGAGGTGCCGTTAAAAATAAACCCGGCACAGGGCTAAAAACGCAACCGCTGCTAAAAAAAAGAGACCCGGTTTCCAGAAACAGGACGGGGAGCAGCGCAGGCCGTCCGCCGGGGCGGGGTGAGACCCCGAGACCCCGGCAGGCCGCTCACCGGAGCGGGGCCCCCCCTCTCGCCCACAGAGCGGCTGCACATGCTAGGGCACAGACTCGACCTGCGCTACGTGCCGTCGGGGACAGAGGCCGCCCCGCCGCGGGAAAAAAAAAACAAACTTCCCCAGCTACTGGGCCAGCGCATGACCCCCACCTGCCCTGCTCCATATTAGTCAGTCCCACAGCAGCACGGCGCGGGATAAATATAGGCCCAAGCTCCGGGGGGAGTGCAGGCGTGCAGGAGAACGGCCCGGCTGCCCCGCAGAGGTAAACGGAGAAGCCCTGGAAAGCAGACGGGACTTTCTCAGCAGCCAGGGGGGGCTGGGTTATTCTGGGCCACGCGAGCCGGCCTCCCATTGGAGGAGCCCGCGGCCTCCGCCGGCCAATCAGGGGAGCCGCTCGGGGGTGGAGGAGGGGCGCCCTGCCGCAGGGGGGAGAAGATAAGAGAGATCACTTTATTGGCCATATAAAGTTTTGTTGCATTAGGAATTGTCCTTTCTCATTCCCCAGCTTGCTCTCCATGAGACACACAGACAGGGAGAGAAGCTGGGGGTCAGAGCACAGGGTCAGCCATTTATACAGCACCCCTGGAGCAGTTGGGGTGAAGGGCCTTGCTCAGGGGCCCAACGGAGTAGGATTCCTCTGCCGGCCGTGGGATTCAAACCGGCAACCTCCCAGCCACAGGCGCAGATCCTGAGCCACAGAGCCACTGCTCTGCCACAAGGGGTACAGAGCGGGACACAGCCTCCCGGGCCTGCAGTGACAAAGCCTTCAGGAGACATGTACCACCTGACCACAGTGGTGGGGGGGGGTTCATAATGGATAATTGCATTAAAAGTGATGGGCGCCCGTGACGTTTATTTACAAGGCCCTGAACGTCCCCCATATAAGGAGCCTTTCTTTCCATCCTCTCATTACCTCAACTTCCGAGCCCCTCATCAGCAGGTGACGATACAGAGCTGGGACCGGGGTCAGGCCCGATCACGGCGCAGGGTGGACCCGGGTCAGCGCCAGCGCCGAGCCAGGGGTGGGGAACGAGCTCCGAGCTCTTCCGCTGAATTTCCTCGGCTCTCCTGATCAAAGGCGCCGTCTTCCCTCGAAACCCGCAGCTCAGTTCGGGGGGGGGGAGGACCTTATCGGTTCAAAAGCAAGGTGCGAACGGCAGCTCTTCCTGCTGCAGGCTGTGACGGTGGCGCTGAGCGACCTGAGGGTCCAAGGTTCGGCCAAGCCCCCCCCCCCAGCACACAGCATGGCCTTCAGAAGGCCTCCGAGCCAGGACAGGGGGCCGACAGAGTACTGCGGGTTGTTAGGACTGGTGGCCGCGTGCCCGCTGTGTTTGAGGAAGGCGGGCAGGGCTCATTTGCATGCGGGCAGGTAAGAGGAAGGCCGGAGTTCTGCAGAACCCACACTTCCCGAAAGCCTGCGTGTGTTTACAGGAGTCACATGTCCTCCAGGCCACACAAACACAGCCCTGCTGCCAGCTCGCGGGAGGGAGCGTCCCCACATGGCCCGGAGATCCACACGGAGCGAGAGGCCACACACACAAGCCCCCAGACCCGGGCCGATCCGGGCTGAACCGAGCGGCACTGAGCCTCCAGTTCAGGGAGATCCTGCGGTCCAGGGGGCCGAGGCTGACCGGCCCATCGCTGGCCTCTCAGCCCAGACAGGGGGGGCTCTCTGCTCCAGCTCAGGTCAAGCAGTGAGGGCTGGGCTGGGCGCGAGCGATCGGGGTCCTGCGGTGCCCGGCGGGCACACGAGGGGCGCGACACCAAGCCTCCCTCCCCGCTGCCCCCCGAAAGGGCCCGGAGGTCTCGGGGCTCAGACTGGCCTCCAGCACCTGCGCCGAGAGCAGAGTCACGCAGGTCTAACTGCTGCATCCCCTCGAGTCTGCTAACCAGGGGAGCAGCTCCCGGGCACAAACACCAACCCCCCCACCCCCTCCCTGCACGCTGACGCACACGGCGCCACCATCTCCACGGCGACACCCACCGATTTGCATATCAACACAAACAAACTCCAGCCAGGCATGCCGGCGGAGATGCGCACCTGGAAGCGCCGACCGGCCCACCCCGTTCGGAACGCCCCCACCTCGTTACCTCCTCCGGGGGGGGGAGCTGGGGTCCCCCCGACAGCCTGACACCCCCTCTCCCTGAGCCCCACTCTGCCCCCCCCCCGGCGCCCTGGCGGCCCCGTCTCGTAGGGGGTCACTGTCTTACGGCAGGGCGCCCCCTCCTCACTGGGGGTACCCCGGCTAGCTAGTCCGACCGCTGGAGTTCGCTCTGCGCTCGGAACTCGCGCCACATCCCACTCGCAGCAACCAAAGCAAAGTCCTGGGCGCCACGGGCCACTGGCTCTGCAGAGAATCAGCTCCTGACTGAGATTACAGCCCTGTGGCCCCGGGTCAGCGGCGCTCAGAAACCCACTGCA